TAATACCTTCGTACTTATATTTATATCTGTCTGTTAAAAAAATAAATTACAGATATTTAATTAATAAAAATGTTAAACTTTCAATACCAATTTTACCTATCTAAACATTTTGACATATTTAAATTTAATATCGATGCAAAATAAAAATGTCAAATCGTCATAATATACACTGTAAGTATATTCAAATTGATAAAAGAAAAAGTGAAAATAATTTATTTATGTTTGGGTGTTTGGGTTATACTATGTACATAACTACATTTATATTTACTCTGGAAGGATTATCAAACAAAACAATATCATTAACCATTAGCCAAAGATGATATGGTAGGTGACATCCTGCGTTACAGATACTAAACAACACGTACCCGTAAAATAAGATAAGAAAAAATATCATAAAATATATTGTTTGTTTTAGAGGACCTAAAATAAAGTTGTTTTTATGAAGAGTGAAATAAAATAATTTTAGGGTAAAAAATTATACCTTATATTAAATACATAAATAACATTACTTTAAACACAATTTTATCGATAACAATATAGATACATTAAGTGTGGATGAATAATGTGTCTGGCTGAGAGATAAAAAATAAAATCAATTTAGAGCTCAACGTTTTCAATGCATGAATCATGCAATTACTATACTTAAGGCATATATTTTTGTTTAATGCTATCTACAGAAGGCTTATTATTATATCTTATTGTAAATTTAAAATGCAAGTACCCAGGTACTTTTAAAAATGCCGTTTATAACCATCACCTACGGACGTGAGCTAATAATATTATTTACACTTAATAAAATATCAATGTTTGAAAATGGATTTCTATACGACTATACTCTTACTTTCTTTGAAAGGTTTGATTTTGATATAAAAACATAACAATTTAAAAAGAAAACATCATTAAGTATTGTCTAACATTTATAAGTAACTTAGGTAAGTATGCATGTATATTAATTAATAATTATCATAATATTAAATTATATCAATCAATCAGTTTATCATTAAATATATTTCAACCTTATTGTATTTTGGGCTTGTCCCGTATTTATGAATAAAATAAAAATACAACAACATACTATATTAACTGTATTGTTTAGTGTTGAAAATTTTAAGCAACGTGCTCAAACTTTCTTCAATACATGCTAAGCTTACTAGAGAAGCAATATAAGTATAAAGTTAAATGATAATAGAAATTTTAACATTTTAATGTATTCCATGATTAAACACAAATAAAAATTCAAAAAATTAAGCAAATTCGAGAAATTTGAAATAGTGAACAATTTTGGTTTGTTTACTAAAATAGAGGTATGGGATATTTTATTAAGTTCGTGAAAAATATTGAATTAATATTTAATGAGTATGTAAATTGTGATTAATAGTTGATTTAAATAATAAAAACACTCCATTAATATTTTGAATTAATGAGAATTTGTGTAAATTTTTTTTTTTGTAGCCAAATCGAAGGATTTGTCAATTCATCTATTTTCTATGTATGAGTATACTATTATTAATTATTATATTAATATATTATAATAAGTTATAATTAGTTGATCTTAGCAAATTTTAAATTTAAAAGAATAGAAATAAAAACTATATCAAAAACTAATAAAATACGATCTAATATAAATTTAAAACATGCATCAAATTTAAATCGATTACCTTTTTATCTATGTGTTTACACTTGCGGTAAATCTGTGATGATGTGTTTTGCATTAAATAAACTTGAAGAATAAAAATAGTAAAATGTCCACATGAAATTAATAACATAAATTACTAAAAATAAATGGAATTTAATTAAAACAACAATTATTAAAAAAATTGAAGTAGGAATGTAATTTAAGTACATATTATTTTCAGCAAATAACTAGATAGGTTTATCATCTGATAACAATTATGTATAGAAGACGTCGGTTCTCATTTGGAAAAGTGTATAGAAAGGTTAATACTTATAGATAAGTAGATACTTATATTTTCAATCCTTTCAATAAAACAAATTATAACAAACGTAGAATTTTCATTGATTTGTATTTAAAAATAAAATTTGAGTCGTAAAATATTCGAAAATAAATGTTTGGCAAGTTTCTATATCTTTATTTTCTGTCTTTAATAAAATACAATATGACAGCCATTTTCTTCTCATTCGTTACTCTAATTCCATAATCCCCTTTCTCCGTATTTGCGAACTCTACACTCATATTATATAATATATTAATCTACATAGGTAGGTATTTGCTTATACCGTTTCTATATATTATCTGATACATTTTTTACTAGAGATCAGTTTTTAAAAAAAGCATATCATTTACACAACACATTTAAAATACTTGCATTTTAGTTGAGAGAATTATTCTGAAACTAAGATTTTATAAAATTAAGTTCAGAATATTAGGTGTTTAAGTATATGCCATGTTACTTATTCATTTTAAGACTTTCATAGTAGCATAACATTTTAAGCGTGTAAAATTAAAAACAAAAATTATATCAGTTATTATCTAAAAAATAATATTATGCACGATAATTATAGTTAATACTTATAGTTATAGGCACACATATTTTACTTTACCGTATTTATACTATACATACATACCCGGTAGGAACCTATAATACAAATTCAAAAAATAATTCAATTTTTAATAATATTACTTATTGGATAAAATAATATTTACTAATATTTGTATCGTACCTAACTATAATTAACTTTAAAATAAATAAATTAAGTTTGAATAAACTAAATTTGTAAAATGGCAGTTTAATGTTTATACATTGATGTATTATTACGCTTAGTATGTAAAAAAACAAAATACTTTCAGAGTATAATATTATTCATATTTTAATAATTAAGATATCTTAGCGACAAAAAATAATGTCTAAAGAAAACTATCCTATTATCGTCGATACACCGGAATCAAGCAGTGTATAGAAATATAAAATGTGGCACTAGAGCTTAAAAATGATTTCAGTAGATAACAACTGCAAGCATTACCTATTATATCATTATATCTATTGTATTTGTAAGAATTGTTTTTTTATTATAATAGCTTAATAATTTCTATAAAATTTCATGAAGCTACTACAATTATATATATTATATTATAGACTTCTGACTTATGTTTTTGTTATAGAATTTGTTTAAAACCCAAACATATTGTATTTTATCTGTTATTCATGTATTATCCCAGACATATTCAAATACATTTTATTTTATTTTGAATGATGATCTGAAAATAAAGATAATATTACCTCTTGATAAAAATTAAGTAAAAAATGTAATTTTCAGTCCAATGAATAGTATTTTAGTGTTTTAACAATGTATTAATGAAAAAATCATCTTTATATAAAATAGGTATAGAGGTACTACTTTAGAAAAAAATTGAGTTTATATGATTTAATTTGTGTAACAGTAATATTATTATAATATATACAGGTCTTGAATTATATTATTATTAATAAATCATGCAATTCTCTACAAATTAGTATACATGAATGTTTTCGAACTAAACTGAAACAAACAAATGAAACAGAACTACACAAACGGTCGTTTGATAGAAAATATAACATTTAAAAAAATTCAAAAATTGAAATCTGTTTCTAACATAGTATTCACATTATTAAATAAGTCAACAGAATACACAGGTAAAGGATTTTAATTAAAATTAATAATATCAATTATTTCGAATTTCAAAATTAAAATTTTTTGTTGAATATCTATCATATTAGAAAAAAATTGATGAATTCAAAAAATTATGATACATGAATTAAACATATTATAGTTTAACATAATATTGATATAGTCTGTAATATAATAAATTCTAAAAATTTGCTTTAATAAATAAATAATTATTTATTGAAGTTGAAAATTGTTATGGTTCGTACACAACAAATTTTGCAGCAGATCTGTGTAGAAGAAAATGTAAAATAAATAACAAATTAGCATAAGCTAGTCACATATAATATTATGAACATTTCATAATATATAGCACGGAACACTTGAAATATAGGTGTAGGTATTAAAATTAGGAACAAAAAGTTGTATTCACCTTATAAATTTGACAAATTAACATACACCACGTTATTTTTTGAAAACTTGTCGAAAATTTCAATTGTTTGTATATCATTCTAATTGGCAATTTAGGTAATTATTTTTTAATAAATTTTCAGTTTAAGTGTCAAGTAAGTCATAAATGATATCCACTGTAAAAAGAGTATATTTAACTTTTGATTTGTTATTGGTTTTAAAAATGTGTGATTATATTTAATAATATGATTTTTTTCATTGTTAAATAGTTAAGTTGACGTATTTTTATTTATTCAATTTGTGTTCAATTGATCGCAGTAACGTTTAATCATAAGATTAACCACTAACTATAATATTATATATGTACGAAGTATAATCTATTTCATCCTATATTAATTAGGTATATTGTCGGTAATTGTTTTTATCAAATAATAACCATTGTAAAATTATATATTTACAGCATAATTTTCTCTTCTAAAATTATTACTTTTAAATTCATTAAGCCCAAAAGTTAAATTAAAACACTATTTATAATAAGTTTACATATTATTATCTTATACATTTTACTCGAATCAGGTAGACAAGTTCGGACCGATAACACATTACAATTCATTATATAAATGTTACTAAAATACCTATTTTTAGTTTTAAACACAAGATTTCAGCGACCTTAAACATATATTTTTTCGCTGGAATGCATCTATACTATTGTAAAACACGACAAAACAGTATTAAATAAGAATGAATAAAGGTACAAGCTTACTATTTTACCTGTGAAATGTTTGTTGACAAAATTGTTTTTATAAACGCAGTCGTACTATAAAATACCGTTTTTATTGTTGAAATTGGGCTAACGGGACTATTTACAGGATTACGGTTTGTTACGACCTACACGTCCATCCTGATATTATGATACCACGATAAATTCAGTACTATAATATATTATTATTATTGTTATTATTATTAATGCGTGTTATGATAGTTACCTTCCGAACAATGGGTGCCAAAGAGAAGAACTGAACAGGTCATGCCCTGCAGCCAGATGAAGGGCGCCTTCGATGTTCAAAAGTCTTGGTTTCGCATTCGGGTCGATCAAATGCTCTTTGACTTTGATTTTGGGCCTGTACGTCGGTTGACCGGTGTCACCGCTGGTAGTAGTCACGGGCAGCGGCGTTTTTGGTTTATTGGTAGCAGTCGAACATTGATAGTCTTTGCCGGTGTTGCTGTTGTTGCCACCACTAACAGTGTTGTTAACGCCACTGCTACTGTTGTTGACGTCACTACTACTGCTGTTGGTGTCACTTCTACTGCTGTTGACGCCATTGCTACTGCCGGCGACGCCACCGCTACAGCCGACGACGCCACTACTGCAGCCGACGACGCCACCGCTACAGCCAGCGACGCCACCGGTGCAGCCAGCGACGCCACCGGTGCAGCCAGCGACGCCACCGGTGCAGCCAGTGACGCCAATGCAACACCCGTTGATGACACTGCCGCCTTCGGTCATCGGCATCTGCTGCTGTAGCTGTTGCCCCGGACCGGATTGATAGTTGTATTGAGCGCGGTTGCGAGGCGATACGGATGTATTTCGCGGCGGCATTGGCGATGGAGATTGGCCGCTGTACCCGCAACCGATTTCCGATGGAAAGCAACAAGTTGGTATAACACCTGGAGCACCGTACGTGGGACATGACTTTGAAGTGCCAACACTGCAACTGCCGGCAGGAGTCGCGGTGAATGGATTGCAGTCACCGGGAGACACTGTAAACGGATTGCAGCCGTTAGGGGATGAGGCGGTAAACGGATTATAACTGCTCGATTTCGGGCAACAACTACCCCCGTAACACGATGACGGTGACCCGTTGCAGCACAGCTCTTGACAAGCCCGTCGTTTCGACTGACGGTGTAAGACCGGTGGCTGTAGCTGTGATATCAATTGTTGTGGGCGCGTCGTCGCCAACAGTTGTGGAATTTGCTGTGGATGTGACGGCAACAGTTGTGGAATTTGCGGTGGATGTGACGGTCCCCGCAGCTGTGGAGTCACGTTGTGCTGCATCGAACGTTTGGACAGAAGTCGAGGTACTTGCTGCTGCGCATGTGGCGGCGGCGGCGGCGGCGGCGGCGGCGGCGGTGGCGGTGGTGGTGGCGGTGGTGGCAACAGTTGTGATTGTTGGTGTTTTTGCGGCTGTTGCGGTGATAATATTGGAGGTTGTGCAACTATTGGTGGTGGTAAAATTTGTGACTGCGGCGGTGGTAATAACAGTGGGTGCGACTGCTGTGGCTGTGGTAATATCTGTGGCAGTGGCGGCGGCGGTGGCGGCGGTGGAAGTGGCGACACGGACGCACAAAAATCGTCCGACTTACTGTAGCCGGGCGTGGAACTATATGGCGGTTCGATGTTACCGTCGTAATACATGTCGCTCCATTGGTTTTTATCTTGGGGGTAGCTGAACGATTGTTGAGCGGATGTCGAGTTGGGTAGTAGGATGCTCAACATCGCGGATATCAGATCGGTGTCGACGCCGGTCATGTCTTTCGACAGATACGACAACCACAGCATCTGATCGATGTTCGACTGTTGACTGCTGTCCTGCTTGCGGTCGTCCGCAAAGCCCGGTTGCTGCTGCAATATGGACCGGAGATGTGACAGCGATACGGCCAACAGGTCAGGATCCGGGAGTGGTGGTGGCAACAATGACGGTGCTCGTAAGAGTTTCGGGATTTCCGTAGCTGGGCTGGCCACCAGGGCGGCTAGCCTGGCCCTGGGAACAAGCAAAGGGTCGGGCACGCACAGCCCGGGGTCTGAGAGCACTTCTTTCAGCTCGGACAGCGGATCCCATTCGCGTTTCACCTGCCCGCCGGCCATCGGCGGTTGCGCAGGCAGTTTTTCAACTCGTTTTTTCTTAAGCGGGGGCTCCTGTAATCGTATTTCTAAGGCAGATCGCTTACTTACGGTTTCCAGGTTCAACGGTTCGTTTTGCTGTTGCTGCTGCGTCGTTATGGTCAACTCGCCCGACTTACACTGCACCGGTGGCGTCTTGGGCGATGATGGCGGCGGCGTCGTCACAGAAACGGATCCGTTTGTCGCGACGTTCTCGACTTTAATCTGGTGGATTGTAGTGCCTTCAGGTAACTTGATAGCCGCAGTCGCCTCTATGGACGGCAACGGAATCTTCACGTCGCACATCAACGCCGGGTCCCGGTCGATCATCTCGAGAGCACGGTCGATCCTCGCCCTGGTCTGTTCTTCATCGTCGTCCTCGTCGCTAGATATGGTGTCAACAAAGTCGATTGAGTTATCGTTCAGGTCGACGAGTATCGGCTCGCCGGTTTTTGGACTTTCTTTGATTCGGTCATCCGGTGGTGTTTTCTGCTCGACCGACTCGTCGCGCTCGCTCTGTGACTCACCAACGTCTACGCAGACGGACGAACGCGATTGAACGGCCGCCAATACCTTAGACCTGGGACAAGAACTCCACACACCGTTGGTCTTGGTCAATTTGATACCCGGATCGTAATCCTCGCAGTATATTTTCAGTATTTGGGTCTCTTTCTTTTTTGCCCACAGAAATATTGGACCACTCCCCTGTTTCGGCCGTTTCTTGTATTTTTTCCCAACCCCGTGCTCGTGGTGGTGGTGTTTCTTATGTTTTTTTTTAGACTTACGTGGCTTGCTGCAAATCACTTCCTTCTTCTCCTCCTCCTCCTCGTCCACCTCCTCCGGCTCCTCCTCCCCTCGGACCCGCACCTCCTCCTCTTCGGCTTCGGACTCCGAAGACAATACAATCACATCGTCGCATACCTGGACCGCAGTTCCGCGATCACCGATCGCGTTCGCGCCCACAGTGACGTTGTTCACGTCGTCGGTGCCCTCCGTGTTGTCCGGTGAAACTTTCATATTTTTTCAGTCGCCTGTCCCACCATATCAGTATAAACGTGCGATACTTTCCCAAACGTGCGCATCATCCGGCAACGAGAAGCACACTAAGCATAATTATTGACGCACGTCGTTCAAGACCCTTCGAGTCTCCTTATCCACCTTAAATTACACCGATATATCACACATGAAACGTAAAACAACAACAGAAATATACAGGTAATGCCAGTTAACAACGCTAAAATGTTCCATTACATTCGGAAAAATTCTCGAGCCCGGCGATCGACGAACACGCGCACGAAACAGCTGTGCAGCTACTAAACCGGTAAGAGTCACTGGCCGGCGGCGGCGGCGACGGCGGTGGCGGCATCACGCGTAAAATTCCGTCGGTGTAACCGGGCTCGGCTGCGGTCGTCGGCGGTCGTGTAACCATTCACAGCTATTGGTCGGCTGAGTTTTCACGTTATAGGCGTTACCTCGGCGGCTCAGCAGACAGATCCCAAAATATTATCCGACCGCCGCCGTCCCTTGCCCTACATCGTTAAAGTGATGCGAATTTTCATCGCCGAACGGGCAAGGCAAATCAACTCCCCCCGGCCCTGCACCATCGACGACGTATCGATCAGTTTCCCTACGATTTGAGATTTCGCGTAATTTTCAGACGGTTAACATAATGATATTATACCACCCGATGACCATTATAACGTTAGGTATCAACCGTTAAAAGGTACCCGTGATGTATAAAGCACACGCGCGAGGGTTTACGTCTATATTATAATGTTATACAGGTGCATTCCGACAATAATGCTGTTACGCTTGTGTATACCGTAAAATATCTGTGTAAATTGGATACCTTTAATAGACACATGACCCTCACTACGGCGCACTAGAAACCACTCGACGGACGGACTCGAGCTTTATTGAATGGGATGTAGGTACCTACAATAATACTACAGTACGTCAGTACTCACGTATATATAGTAATCCCGTGTCAATTTTTTTTAATTTTCGTTATTTTATTTTATTTTATTTAATTAGCGGTATCTAAACTTTATTTACAATACATTACGTGTTCGTTGTAGTATATATGCATTGCATTGATTTGTCCGTATATATCATACACCATTGCTGATTAATCAAATTTAAATATTTAAAATTAAACTTAACATTTTTTCAAGTATTCTTTTTTCAAAATTGTTTATAATAACTTAACGTTTTGTATTTAAAAATGGTGCAGATACCTAATTTTAATTTAAGCTAAGCTATTCACCGGTGTTCCATCAATAGACAGTAATCTCCATACACAAGTAGTTTTGTCAATTTTTTACATTTTATTTCGATAATGGACAGTGCATAGCTTATTGCATAATAATTGTCAATTGACATAATACTTTACATAATTTTTTAAGATTGTGCATTTTTTTCTTTAAAAAAATATATACTCAATACATAGTCCTTATACTACACTTCACTGAAACAGTGAAACCCGTTCTCATACTATAAAGTATAAACAGTAATAATACATACACACAATTGACAATTAAATATGGGAAATTATTATTTCTAAAGCATTATCCTTGGACCGTGTGCATTACATACCTACTGGACAGTGGATCTCCTATTATACATACATACATTGCAGTAATAAAGAAAGTTATACATTTTTAATTACTTTACTATACTAAGACGTTATTTATGTATTTTATTAAAACTTTTAGCTGTATATGTAGTTTTGCAATTAAATTTCATTTATAACTGGTAAATCAACGAAAATTTAACAATGCTGCATTTAAAAATTACAGTACGTATTACAATACAATTTCAAATGAGAATGCAACATTAGAATTGTAAATATTAAAATAAAATATTTCTATTTTCAAAGTTCAAAATTCAAAACGTTCGGTACATTAAATTAGAAATAAAAGAATTGTGAATCGTTTGGTACTATAGGGAAATGTGATTATCATTGACCGTTATGAAACTCTAATTCATAGGTAAATGAGAAATTAAGAAGCCACTCAAGATCTCATTTCAATCGAAAAACGATTCGTAAGCATACTTAATGGCTACCTAATCCTAAACACATTTACTCTAAATTATTAAAATATTAGATACATTTTTAAAGTAAGAATACAATATATTATATTTTATTGTTTTTCATGCTTTTTAAGATAATTATATAGTTAAATTAATTTTTTATCTGCTATTTTACTTAAGAGGACGTAATACCCGCATGTGTTGTCTCCGTCTTACAAGTGCGTAACATAGCAAATTGTACACTCGGCAGAACACGTGTAGCTCCGTTAATTTAAAAATTTAATTTAATTGACCTCTTATAAAATCTAAAGGTAAGATTATTAGGATCTAGGCAACCTCATAGGCTTTTTATTATATTTTTATTTTAACGCGAGTTATAAGTATTTTAAGATGTATAAAAAATTTACAATTTTAAAATACTCATAACTAGCGTTAAAATTAAAATAAATAAAAAACCTATGAGGTTTGCCTAGATATTAATCTTACCCTTAGAGTTTATAAGAGGTCAATTCTCACTAATTTTTAAACTAACGGAGCTACACGTGTTTTGTTGAGCATAACATTTGCTAAGTTATGCACTTGTAAGACAGAGACAACACATGCAGGTATCACGTCCTCTTAAAGGTAATTTAATTTGATTATGATTTACGGTGTAACATATAACAAGGGAAATTAAAACATAAATATTATAAAAGTACTATAGTACGGTATCTATAACACTTCCTCGATAAAAAAAAAGATAACAAATATTGTGGATAAATATTTATCAGAAACTCAAACTTTCAACTTTAAGGTCAGTTTAAACTCATTTTACATATAAAAGTGGGCTAGTTGTGCTTGTATATTGTTTTGAGTTTTTGGTTCTAGTACGAAGCCTCAGTTATAAAAATGTAACCTTTTATAAATGTTTAACTATAAAATAATGGTAATTTGCAAATATTCGTGGTTTTGACAAAATTTGAACTCAAATTTTTATTAAAAAAATTGTTCATAGCTTTTATGTTTTCAAATTGTTATAATTACAACCTACAAAGAACTTTGTATTACATTGTCAGTCTTTTTTACCAAGCAAAAAATTGTTTTATCATTGTATAAATATCCAATTTTGTCAAAATGATAGAATTAAAGTGTTTAAAAAATATATTGTAGATTTAAGCTGATTTTTTTAAAATTCTAGTATAAACAATTTATGGAGAATTTTGTATTACATTTTTAACCAAGTGTAATTTTTTCGATGGATACAGTAAATTTCAAATTTATTTTAATCACTTGAAATGAGTAAAATATTCCGACAAACTATACAATAAATAATAACATATAGATTTAGCTAATACACCTAAACATTTGGTGACAATTTCAAGTATCTACATTCTACAGTTATTTGTTTTTGAATTACAAGAAATTGACAAAATCGATTATGTTGAAAATTGATTTGGCAAAAAAATTCAATGATTAAAATGTTCCTACATTTTTTATTTAAATTTTTTTCTCATTATTTAGAAAAGTACTGGGAAATTATTGAGATTTGATCCCAAATAAACCAACTAAATTCTTTTTTAAACCAGACACAAATATTGAATCATTTTTATTTTTACTGCATTAAAAGGCGATGACAGACAAAAAAACCACAGGCATTCCATCATTGTAAACCCAATAAATTCATAATCCATTCAGAATTTATAGCTATGTATTTTATAAATATTGGTCCTTAGTCTAAAAATTATTTGAGTCAAATGAAAAATGGATCAATACATTTTTAGGGACCGACACAATCTTTGATACCCCCGGAACATGTCTGAAATAAACACCGAATATGCCTAATACATATAACAATAAAATTATATACTAAATAAACCATAAAGCCGGATTCACGGCGAAGTCGAATAAAGTTTGATTGTATATGATTTTATCGTGCTCTGATTCGCAGTTGTCATGTTATCATTCACAAAGCATAGTCTTTCGGGAAATGTCCAAAGTTAAGCTGACCTCAACTTTTGAACATGACACGATCAATTGCGTAACTGTGAACTCGACTAAACATTTGATTTTTAAAAAATATACCAATAATTATGAAATAAATATTTTTTTTTTTATCTTATCTAAGTATTTAACCCATTTAGCGTTTCATAATTATTTATAGTTGATCGCAAATAATTCTTCAATAATTTTGGAGTGAAAAATGGGTCACTTAATCCATGGTATTTTTACTAAAATTAATTAATAATAGTTATAGTTAAAGATATATAGGTAACACAAATTTAAAAATATGCTTAAATATATTATTAGTTTGGTTAATTTCATAATTCATTGATGTCACAAGTGTAAAAACATTAAAATATAAGGTAAACAAAAACACTTTGAAGTAGTCTTAAAAAAATAATACTAAAAAACAAATTGATTAGAATTAAGAGCACTTACCATACTGAATTTTTAAACTTTTAAAATAAACTATATACATATGACTAGTGACTGCTATTATTTTAGTTGTATTTTTATAATACATAACTATAAGCCATCAAATATTGTTAAAGATTAGTTTTTCGTGTTATACACTTAGACCTTGTACATATATTACAGAATGCACCCCCGACAGTTTGTTAGAATAAAAATGTACGTGAATAAATATAGACTTATTATCTAAAACTATTGTTTTTTATGCTGATGTCTGCACATGCGTATAAATAAAGCCACTATCCTATGGCTATAGTTATTATCATATCTGCCTAGCTTTTTTAGTAACAAAAAGTTATTATAAGTTTATGTAATTACTATTCAAGGTTGTGCCTGTATATTAAGTATGTTAAATAGATTTGGTATTCCTTGTTAAATATATGAAAAAAATAATTTTTTCTAAACTATAAACTGTAGTTTCCTTAATCTTACAATAATTAACAAATAATAGATTTTAAGTTTTTTTTATATTACTTGAACTATTTGATCGGTACACACATTATTTGTTAAAATAATTTTAACTATACGATAGTGTAGTGTTTAAATCAGAACATAATAATATAAATAAATGGTTAATTCAGTATCTTTTTTTAGTAATAATTCAATTCATTAATTTATAATGAGAAATCAAACAACAATAGTAATAATTTAAAATTATTGATACTGTAATTTAATTGTTTATGTATGCATTAATTAATATAATAACAGTTTTAAAGTAATTCATAAGCAATTATATAGGTATAATAATATCAAAAATATTCCAGCTAGGTACCATTTGAACGATATTATAATTGATATATATGCAAACTGCATTTGTTCATATTTATAGTTATTATATGTTTGTTTAGTATAT